GCAGCAGCTGGAGATGCAGCAGCTGGGGCGGCAGCAGGTGGGCTGGCAGCACACAGTCTGGCAGCACTGAGGCCTGCAGCAGGTGGTCTGGCAGCAGCTGGGGCGGCAGCAGCTAGAGATGCAGCAGGAAGGGCGGCAGCAAGTGGGCTGGCAGCACAGGGGCCTGCAGCAGCTGGAGATGCAACAGCTAGGGCGGCAGCAGGTAGTCCTGCAGCAGGTGGTCCTGCAACAGTTCTCCTGGTCAGAACAGACAGAGCCACAACAGGAGTTGCACATGGTGTCGGAGGGTGAAGGTTCTGAGTGGGTGTCCAGGAGAGTAAGGCTCTGGAGTTCAAAAGTCATCTTGGGCCACAGCCCCTTATATATTGCCCTGTTTTCCTGTTGTTGACACATTTTCCTCGTGTTTCCTTACTTAATAGCAAAGTAATTATATAATTACACGGTAATGTTAGTCCATTTAATGCTTTAAGCTTGTTGGAAACAACATTTTTCTGTCCGGATGTCATAAATGCAGTCCCATCTCTTCTTTCTCCTGTTTGAGCCTTGATGGCATTTTGGAGTCCACATTCTCCTCACCTTCCTCCTCAGAGGGCCGGTGATGCTCGGCATTTGGAATTGCATTTCTCACTCTCCCCTCCCATATCTCCTGCCAGGATGGGATGTGGTCAGTCAGACTTCTGGTGATGCATTTCTTTCAATGATCATGGGGAAGAAAGTCCATTTGCTCAATGTGGCTTCTACCATGGGACAAGAGGAAAAAGTTCTACTTTTGGCTTCTTTCTGAGCAATGAGGAAGGGGACAGCTCTAGGTGCGTGTCACCTTGGTGACCTCTACACCACTGGAATGGATATCTCTGAATGTTTCAAAATTACATCATGTTTCACATCTTCAAACCCTCTCTGGGAATTTGTCACCTGTGTAGTTTGTTTTACCACAAGTCACAGTGTTTTAAGTTGCCTCTTTCCTGTGTTTGTCTGTATTATGTCTCTCCAGCTGGTCTCTTAGACTCTGGAAGACATAGCCTCGTTTTCATTGCTTACCTTTTTTTATTTTTTTATTTTTTTTGAGTTGAAGTCTCATTCTCTGGCCCAGACTGGAGTGCAGTGGCCGCTCCCGGCCTCAACCTGCTGAGCTCTGGTGATCCTTCCACCTCAGCCTTCCAAGTAGCCGGAATTACAGGCGCGTGCTACCACACTCGGCTAATTTTTTGATTTTTTATTGTAGAGATGAGGTCTCGCCTGCCCAGGTGGGTCTCGAACCCACGGGCTCAGGCAATCCTCTCACCTCAGCCTCCCAAAGGTGCGGGTTTACAGGCTGAGCCACCGAGCCCAGCTACCTTTTTTAAATTAAAAATAATTTTCAATACGGTAAAAAGTGTAATATAATAAGAATTTGTTTGTGGTCAGAACTGACCTCCCAAGCTGGGATAGCCATAGGGCAAGGTTTTTGGATACATCTAAAATGTCAGTGTGTTACAGCCCAACCCAACAATCAGCTGCTTTCCTCCTAGTCAACCAAATACGAGAAGCAGAAAGCCGAGAGAAGTAAGGAATTTTGTTCTGATATCATGGATATCATGGGGTCAGGGAACAGGCTCTGTATCCAACCGAAAACCTGCTCATTTAAGCAGAGTTTCATCCAATATTTATAAGAAAGCATAGTTTTTAAATCTTTTTCATACCAATGATTAATAATGACTACATGTCTCATGACCTCAGTTTCTTTCTTGATCAGTGTTTAGACCCCAAATTGTTACTGTCACAAACTGATGCTCAGATGACATTAATCCTACCTTTCTTCTAAGTTACAACTACCTGAAACAATTTGGGGCTGTGTGCTTTCTAGTTGTTTACGGTGTTTTGCTTATTCAGGGAGTTCTGGTCCACAAGGTTTTATTAAATAGTATACAGAAAATTAACACAAAGACATGATAGAAAGCATTTGTCACTTAGAGACTAAGGGATCAGAGACATTTCTGGGTTTTAAAAAGTTTCAGCAGAGCCCATTTCTTATCTGGGTTTAGCCTTTTCCAGGGACATGCAGTCTTCTTGCGTGTGTCCTCTGCTTATCAGGGGGCTTAGTGAAGAGGGTTGTGTTCCCTCAGTATCAGCAGTAGTTACTAGATCCAAGGACAGTGAAGAAGGGATAAGGAAAAATATTCAGTTTTAAATTCAAATGGTTTCTAGGTTTATCCCAGCTAAGTTTGATACAAGTTTCTAAGTCTTTTCTAAATGGCTGTTTTAATGTAACCAAAATGGACCTCTTCTCTGGCTTTAACACATCGATTTTAGAAAATTCCAACTTGTTGAATGATACCTTCAACTTAGCCTCTATTTTATTTATTTATTTATTTATTTTTTTGAATTGGAGTCTCACTCTGTTGCCCACACTGGAGTGCAGTGGCCGCTTCCGGCCACTGCAGCCTCGACCTGCTGGGCTCCAGCGATCCTTCCTCCTCAGCCTTCCGAGTAGCTGAAATTACAGGCATGTGCTACCACACCCGGTTGATTTTTTTATTTATTGTAGAGATGAGGTCTCACTGCCCAGGAGGGTCTCGAACCCGCAGACTCAGGCAATCCACTCACCTCCGCCTCCCAAAGGCGCGGGATTATAGGCTGAGCCACCGAGCCCGGCTTTAGCCTCTACTTTAATGAAGGTCTACTTGAGGCAAGCATCAGAAGTATGTGGAGGGATTGTTAAACAAATTGCCAGATCTGCTTCCAGGGTTTCCCATTGCTGGGAGAAACTCAGTTCTGACGAGGGCCCAAGTGATATTGATGCCAAAGGTCCAGGAGCCACACAATGAACTTCCTGCCTCTTTCTGTTCATTCTAGCTTGCAGAAGAACCTAGATCAAGAGCCTTCCTTGTTTATCAAACAGATTTGTTTATTGGATAATCTGAGAGATGTTTGTTGACAGTCACCAGGATTAGAAACTTGATTTAGTGTGTCCCTCTGGGGTGTTCACAGTTTACTGGGAGAACACACACACACACACACACACACACACACACACTCACACACACACACAAGTTGAGACATAATGTGGGAAGGTAACACCAAAGCACTCATAGTAGTGTAATTTGACTAAAAGAATTGCACTTAGAGCAAATTAGCTAACATGGCAATTTGGTAGATGCATTCATAAATAAACATCTTTAGGTCAACTTTTCTTATAATTTACTGGAATTTCCATACACATAAATACACAAATCCCAAGTGTACAAGTTGATGAGTTTTGTAAATAGATACATCCATGAAAACCCCACACCTATCAAGCTAGAGAACATTTTTATTTCATCAGAAAGTTCCCATATGTCACTTCAATAAACTCTCTAGCCCACAGAGGCAGCCAGTGTTTGAACAATTGATTAGTTTTGATCTAAAAATTAAAACAATGATATATCATATAATTTTTTCCTGTCTGGCATCTTTAGATTGTCATATATCTCAGAGTCACTGATGTTGACACATGTATCACTAGCTTATTTGGAGCTGTATTCATGAATACCAGGACTTCACGAATATAGCTACCAATGTCATAGTAGAATGACCACCTGTGCCTGTTTGCTCAGGACTGAGGAAGTTCCTAGAACTCGAACTTTCATTGTTAAAATCAGGGAAATCCAGGCAGGCAGAAACAAGTTGGTCACTATATAATGCCATCCTTCAATGCCTTAATTAAGGTGATTCAAGACCAAGTACCTTGCAATATTTTTATCACACTAACTCATTTAGTGAATACTTGATTTAACATTTCTAATTTATGGGCTTGTGTTTGCAAAACTGGACACATGAAAGATTTAAACAATTCTATTCTGAGGCTACGTGTTATCCTAAGGGGGAGATGTTCACTCGGTTTTTTGTAGATGAGAGGCCAAGAAATAGATAATAACATAAAAGAAAGAAGGTTTTTATTATGAGAGAAGGGGTTTCTATGTAAATTTATAAAGATTTAGAAAATCCTATCTCCACAGCTACAAAGACAGAGACATAAACATGGTAGAGAAATGTACAGAGGATTATAGCCCCTTATCCAGGGGGTCTCAAAGTTTGCTGCATATTGAAACACCCAGCAGAGTTTTCAAAATTCCTGTTGCCTGGCTTTTTCTTAGAACAATTCTGACTTCATTGGCCTGGGGTATGTCGTGAACATCGCAATTTTATAAACTCCTCAGATAATCTGCTAAGCAGCCAATACCCACCAGGCAAGAGTATCATAAGTGGATGTAGTTCTTCTAGATCAAATGGTTGTATACATTCACAGTGCTCACCCAGGGCTATGCCAATTCTCCTGCTCTTTGTCACAATATAGTCTAAAGGGTTGGAGACAATTGGATATCCCACAGAACATCATGTTGATCCACTGATGATGTCATGTTATTCAGTCTGGATGAACAAGAAACATGAATATTGAAGAAAATTTACTAAGATACAACTGCTCCATAAATGAAAGGTATATCTGAAAAAGATTCCGGGGCCGCCATGGTGGTAATATTTTTGACAGTCTGGTTTGGAAAAAATGAGAGCATTCCCTGCTGAATATTTGACCTGCCAGCAAGAGAGCAAGACTGAGCTCCTGAGAAGTTACCATCTCATGAAGAGATCAGTCAGTCTCTAGCTACTGAAGGGGATTACTTATTATCTGGGTATGGGTTTGTGCTTTCTGCATTCAGTGCCCCCGTCTGCACCATTATACGGGGGTCAAAGAGTATTTGATGTAGCATGATGAAGTCCTTTTGACCAACAAACCCCATATGCAGCAAATGGTATGTGGCACCGGGCAAGTGACTGTAAAATCCACTGATCTCCTTTATGCTGTACCATCCAGGAACAGTTGAACTGATAGTGTGAGATGAAAATTCCCTTTTGAAGCCACAGTGGAGGTTCCAGCTTGTAGATGACACCCTGCAAGGATGAAACACTATACTCCAGAATGTAGTATAGACCTGAAACTAAGGCTCATCGTACTTGCTGTGTGTCCAGTGGATAATATACATGGATACAGAAGGCCAAGAGTGGAAAGAGGAGCTTCCTGTCACCTTCGCTCTCGGTGATCCACGAGGGGGAATTTGAGCTTCCTCCTGCCTGATTTTAAACTTCCTGGGTCCAAGATGAGGAGAAACCACCTCTGGGAGACACAATAAGGATTTGATAAGAATTAAAGCCATGTCTGTCGCCTTATCACTTGGACATCTAGTGCCAGGGCATCAGCAGGCAAAGAGAGGAGCATTTCACACAGGCAATTGGCCTCATCTTCATGAGGAATTAGGATC